GACGCCTGCTTCTTGGGAGGAAAGCGATGACAAACTTTGACAGCATCTTAAAAAGCAGAAACATCACCTTGCCAACAAAAGTCCGAATAGTCAAAGCTATGGTTTTTCCAGTAGTGATGTATGGAAGTGAGAGCTGGATCATAAAGAAAGCAGACCGCCGAAGAACTGATGCCTTTGAATTGTGGTGCTGGAGGAGACTCTTGAGAGTCCCCTGGACTGCAAGGAGAACAAGCCTATCCATTATAAAGGAAATCAACCCTGAGTGATCACTGGAAGGACAGATCCTGAAGCTGAGGCTCCAGTACTTTGGTCATCTCATGAGAAGACTCCCTGGAAAAACCCACTGATGTTGGGAAAGTGTGAAGGCAGGAGGAGAAGGGAACGACAGAGGACGAGATGGCTGGACAGGGTCATCGAAGTGACCAACATGAATTTGACCCAACTCCGGGAGGCAGTGGAAGACAGGAGGGCCTGGCGTGCTCTGGTCCATGGGGTCATGAAGAGTCGGACACGACTAAACGACGACAGTATAGGAGCAAAGTGTACAGAGGTAGGAAACATTTTCCAGGCTGCTAGCCATCGTGGTGTCCCAGCAGCTGTCTGTGCTAACTCCAGTGCCAAACAGGAGGTTAATGCGCGGATCAGGTCCATCAGAAAAAATGCTTCTGATCCGGCATGGTTCTCTAAAGATTGAATGCCTTTCAAATCAGTTGAAACATGTAAGAATGGGCTCAAGCTACAGGAAGCCAGATTTAGGCTGAGTATTAGAAAAAACATCTTCACTGTTAGAGCAGTACGATGATGGAAATCATGACTTTGGGAGGTGGGGGACTGGTACAGTTTAGGTACCGTGGCTAAAAGATGTCAAGAATTTGCTTCGTTGATTACTCTGGGAGTTACCATTAGGTGTAATGAAATTGCAGGTTAGCGCATGCTCTAGATGAGTACTGTCTTGCAAGTTCATGATACCTAAACTAGAAGGCAGATGTTTTTGTCAACATTTATTTTATCCTCGCAATGCAGTGATTAAACTGCAATACTGCAGTCAAGACTCTGCTCACAACCTGTGTTTCATCACAACGGGCTCAGGTAGCCAACTCGAGGCAGACCAAGCCTTTCATCCTTCCAAGACTGGTAAACTGAGTATCCAGCTTGCTGGGGATGGGGTGGGGGGCAATGTGTAGCTTGCATCCTGCATAAAATTAACTTGTAAACTGCTCAGAGAGTGCTTCTCTAAGCTATAAGGAATTGTATATAAGCAACACACTTTATCCTGAAATCCAATGGAAAAAATTAAAGATAGCCCTTGGTGAAAAGTCAGCAGCAAACTGTTGCAAATTAAGAAGTCAGTGATGGCATTTGCTGTCATAAACCAAATCACACAACTAGTCCACAACAGCAGATGCCCTAGGCTGACTTCTTAACTTGCAGCAAGATTTGTATCTTGTGCTTGAAAAATTAAAAAATATCTTTCGCAAGCAGAAACCCCGAGAAGTATGTTCTTTCTTGGATATTGCCTCATAGCCCGGCTGGAAACTATTCATTATCCTGCAGACTTGCCTAGATTCATTATTATTATTATTTTTAAATGGATGCTATTTTGCAAAATCAAACTGGCAAATCAACAACGCTTGTTTACAGATTTTTAAATGGTATACCATCAGAATTTTAATTATACACTGGCTAATGCAATTATTGATTGCTATGGATTAATGAGGTAGTAATCAGGATTTTTCTGAACTCCAGAGATTTGCTGCCGTGATCATGAGAATCAGAGAGCCAAGAACAACGGCCCTTATATTTAGTTCTGGCAAAATGGTCTGCACTGGAGCAAAAAGGTACGTACAACAACTTAACATTAAACAAGATCCACCACCACCACCAAACCCCGCAAAGATGTAGCATTGTGGGTCCCCTTCTCTCAAGCTTAACCACCTGTTTAAATTTTACTCTCTGGAAGCCCTGGGGGAGGATGCAGAACCATGACAAATTATGGTTGGCAATTCAACACTTCCATATCATTGAAGACAGATATGGGTAAAGGGTACCCCTCCAGATGTTCTTGGGCTACAAATCCCATCCGCCTTAGCCAGTATACCCATTGGCGAGGAATGATTGGTGGCAGTTGTTACACCTGGAAGCCTGTACTTTGCCCACCCATCATTCAAGACATCCTTCAAAAGACAAAAATTTAGCTAATCGTGATTTTTAAGGCATAAGTATAGAGAAATTGAGCTGCCCCTGGTAACTGGGACAACTGAAGCATGTGAAGAATTACTATGTCTTTTGAGCTGGGAAAACCCTGATTTGCTTAAGACGTTGAGGGATGGATCTCTGTTTCAGCCTCTCTCTTTTTTAACGATCCCTGTGACTATGCAGTGAAGAACAGTCTCGGCTAGCAGCCAGGAAGTACGCCCGGGTGGTGCAGAAACTTGGTTTCCCTGCAAAGTTCCTGGATTTCAAAATACAGAACATGGTAGGGAGTTGCGACGTAAGATTTCCCATCCGGCTGGAAGGCTTGGTTCTAACTCATCAGCAATTCAGCAGGTATGGTGCGCTGCCGTTAGCCGTGAAGGAAACAAAAAGTTAGTGGCTAGGGAGAGGAAATAAGCATGTACAGTATCTGCAGGATCAGAATCTTCTGATTCACTTAGCCATGGTCTCAAAAAAAATTAAAAACATAAAAGAAAAATCCTTGAAATACATGTTTCTAAAGGTGAAGTTACCAGAACTAGCCACTAGGGGGAACCATGCTATGTATCGTGTTGGCTGCAGAAATATTTTTCTGCGATGTCATTACAGAACAGGTCATTAGAGGGAGCCAGAGTTCATATGATGTACTGTATAGCTTTTATTATCAATCAATCGATTGATTGCTTTTATTAGTGTTTGCTATAATCTGCATTTTTCAGCATCCATGGAGGAGGGGGCTTGAAACTGATCCCCACTGATACAAGGATTCTACTGTATCTTCATAGTTTTTTTTGGGGGGGGGACACAAATCTGTTCAGTTTTTTTTAAAAAAAACCCACTCCTTTGGACACTGTTGAATTATGAAGCAAAGTGGCACAAACGGCTAAACGAGAGGAACAGGCATGATGCTTTAAGCCCTATAAGTTTGAAAGCTACATTAAAAGTATAATTCAACAAATGCTTTGTGAAGGTTGGCTTATGGTTTAACAGCTAATACACCGCGTCTACTGTATTTCTGAAGTTGTTTTCACTGTTACAAAAATAACTACTCTTTTGTTTAATTGCAGCTATGAACCAGAACTGTTTCCTGGCCTTATCTATAGAATGGTCAAGCCCAGGATTGTATTGCTCATCTTTGTGTCTGGAAAAGTCGTATTAACGGGTAAGTGGTGCACACCCCACGGACTTCAGCTCCCGTGTGTTTTTCTGTGCGATAAAGTGGAATAAAAGAAACAAATACAGGGGCAATCCAGTGCAACCCCTACTGAAATGAGTGGACCTCTCTGCTTGCCAAAAATATTCTGTTTATTCAAATAAAATATTTTATTTACTAAAAAAAATTGTAATAGGACGACAGCCTGCAGTCTTGGAGCACCTTTCTGAAATGAGTGGCTTTGTGAACATTCGTGCTGGGAGGAGATTTGGTCACTGGTGAAGGACAGCTCACCCCCACCCCCCAAACAATGGAGGAAGTCTCCTTCTTCCAGACTCCTGGGATAGGGCAACTGTTGAGTCAACCTACTATGGAGCTGATGTGCAAAATGCAAAATAAGAGTGAGGATTTCCCCCCCTTAACAAAGAACCTGAATTTATCATTGAGAATAGCAATCGGTTTAAGAAGGGGGACTGTGAGCGCAACTACATTGCCCAAATAGTCTAAGAGTGTTATTGGGTATTATTGGGTTCATTCACGTCACATGCTCTTTGTGTCACTGTCCTCATCCCCCTAGAGTAGCCTCAATCGGATTGATTTTGGGCAGGGGGCTCACTGCTTTTTAAATGTGTTTAAATAGGCCCAGGGTTAGCACTTCAATCGGCCCATGAATCTGCCTGAACGCTGTCATCATCCTATCTTTTCCGAAGCTAATTTTTTTCTTTTGTTTTATTCTAAGTGGCATAGCGCTGCATCAAAGTTGCAAAGACAGACTCTAGCAACTATGAGGTGCAGCACTAAAGCTGAACAGTTTGTTTCACAGAGAGAGAGAGAGAGAGAAAGGAACAGTTCGGACAAATAGGCACAATTCCTAATTTTCCAGTAGGACTGCATTCCACACCACCTCAAATGTCAGCACAGAGAATGCTCTGCCCCCTCCCCAGAATATAGTCCTTGAATCTTAGAACCACAGAGCTTAAGGGATCTTATGAGTCATCAAGTCCCATCCCTGATAAGGCCCCAGTGGGGAATCAAACTCCCAACCTCTGGCCCCGCACCCAGATGTTTAAGCCACTGAGCAGCTCAATGACATGGCCATTCACACAACAACAACAACAACAAAAATTGGTCAAAAAAGGGCAAGGTAGAGTGATTTAAAACCAACAACCTCCAGATGTGTGTTAAAAAGAAGCAGTTCCTCAAAAAAGTGAGATTTTCTCACCTGCTTACAACAATGCTGTGTAGTTGGGAAATTTTGAATCAATTCGCATCATGCTAAAACCAGTGTAAAAAGAGGAGCACTGTATATTGCAATGTCATTGCACCAGAGTGGCATGATGCTTGTTTAACCCCTGGATCATCATCACAGTATAATGTTCTCTTCCAATTCAAATAAGATGGGCCTCTCTCTACCCACAACTGGAGACCATTAGAATAAAATCTGTAATCTTATTTTGCAAGTAGATTCCAGACAGTATTTTTTTCCCTTGGTGATATTCTATAATGTCTGACTTCTGGAATTATCCTGGATAGAGTACACCAGATTCCAGATAGTATTTTTTTTCCCCTTGGTGATATTCTATAACGTCTGACTTCTGGAATTATCCTGGATAGAGGAAGACAAGCCCTTAGCAACTAACAACATATTGACATGATTAAGCAACTGAACTGCAGCACTGTGAATTAATAACTTCCAAGTCGTTAATTAACTGCTCTACTCATGTCTTGCAGACTAGCTGGAATAGTTTCATGCACTGATCAAGTAATCTGATGCTACAGATCTTCTTTTCCTATTGCTTTCCTCTTTTCCTATTGCCTTCAACTTTATTTAACTGTATTGTCCTCTCTACTAAGACTTGTCTTCTTATATGTCCAAACTATCAAGTCTAACCCCCTGCTTGATGGAGGAATAAAAATCTGCCAGGGGGTTATCTATGTTTCTCTTGAATGCCTCCAGTGTTGGAGCACTCATCACCTTTCGAGGTAACTGGTTCCATTGTCGTACTGCTCTTACCATTAGGAAGTTTTTCCTGATACTCAACCGAAATCTGGCTTCCTATAAATTAAGCTCATGGTTGCGTGCCCTTCTTTATGGCCTTCTTCTTCACTATGGTTCTGGAAAGATTAGGCTTGATTTGATCTTTTTGTCTTTATACCTTGTGGTTTTATTTACATTTATGGCCTTCTTCCTCACTACAGTTCTGGCAAATATTCTTAAAGCTAACTCTTTGTCCTAGGTGCCAAAGACCGTTCTGAAATCTATGAAGCATTTGAAAACATCTACCCAATCCTGAAGGGCTTCAAGAAAGCCTCTTAATTTTTTGTGCGTGACAAATTGTAAAGCATGGATAGGTTTGTATATGTTTTATTAGGTCTTAGACAGAGTACATAGCAGAACTGTTCAGATGATGTGAAAAAAAGTTTAAAAGAAATATGAAACAAAGAACAAGTTTGTTAAACTACTTTGTGAGTTTGAGTTATCTGGAAGTACTGCTTAAATTACATTGCAGTATTACGTGTTCTCAATTAATTAATTTATTTTTGTTTAAAATAAAGAAATTAAACATTACTGTGTTGGTTTCCTTAGTGATAAAAAGTTAGATATGTTGATTTTTAAAATCTCAGATCACAACTCTTAATCATGGCTTGATCTCTACATACTTAAGAGATTAAAGATATCTTGTCCTTTTCTACTTTATTTACTTCTGAGTATGATAAATACTGCAGTTCTAGACAGTGAAGTGAAAGCTGCTTTGAAAGCACTAGGAAAAAATGAATCACCAGGGATAGATGGAATACTGATAGAACTTGATTCTATCCAGGAATATCCAGGATAGAATCCAGTTCTATCAGTATTCTATCCAGAATTCCATCTAGGATTGCCATAAGATTGTCAAAATCTTAACATGAATATGCCAACAAATATGGAAAACAAAACAATGGCCCACAGACAGGAAATGTTCAATATACATTCCAGTCGCCAAGAAAGGAGATGCCAAGGGATGCAGTAACTATAATAGCATTGCTTTAATTTTCCATGAAAGCAAAGTGATGGTCAAGGTGCTCCAACTAAGGCTTTTTAACTTATATGGAGTGAGAAATGCCTGGTGTTCAAGCTGGATTTTGAAAAGGGCCGTTTGGTCCTAATGAATGGTATATATTACTACAACTGTGTCAATAAGTACTTTAAGCACTCAAAAATCTGAAAGCTCTAATACAATTTTTCCAAAGTATTAATAAAATGAACATTTTAAATATTTATAGAAGCCAAGTATTTATTATGTTGTTCTTATGTGTTGTCAGGTTGCCTCCAATTTATGGCAATCCTGTGAAAGGGCAAACTTCAAAATGTCTTGTCACCAGCTGCCCTGCTCAGCTCTTGCAAACTCATCTGTGGCTTCCTTTAGGAAGTCAATCCATTTTGTATTTTGTTTTCCTCTTTTCCTCAAACTTCTTTCCTCTTATCTGTTCCATCCATATACAGAACTTATAATATGGAAAACCAGGCTAGATTCAAATAAAGTAGGAGTGAAGATGAATTACGTAGCCACACATGGATAATCAAGTCTGCAAGCTGTCATCTGGAGCATATCATTTTTGTAAGTTGATGGTGCTTATTCAGAAAAAAACAGCATCAACCGCGAACGTGGGGTGCGGAAAGGGGCTGTAGACAGAAATGGACAGGGTGGAAAAAGAACGTATATGGTGGAAATGGCTCTCGTGCTCAACATCTACTTGAACATGCACCCACATAAATAAAAGTATGGTTGAACGCAAAAGCTTGCACACTTTTTCCATTATTTTGTTGTTGATCCAATCTTCTGCCACAGCTCTCTCACAACCTCTATCATTTACCATTAAATATCTTCCGTATCTTGAAATACCCTTATTATGGTTCACACCAAGCAGAGGAAACTTGACAGCACATAATCTGTTTCCCTGAAAATAAGACCTCACCTGAAAATAAGCCCTAGTAGGATTTTTCAGGGTCCTCATAATGTAAGCCCTACCCCCAAAAATAAGCCCCCATTCAGTGAAATCCCGCCCTCCACCCTTGTGCAGCAACCAGAAGCATGGCTGTCTTTGAATAAATGTTGATGGTTGTACATGAAAAAAATAAAACATCCCCTGAAAATAAGCCCTAATGCATTTTTGGAGCAAAAACTAATATAAGACCCTGTTTTATTTTTTGGGGAAACACGGTAGCATAACATGCAGCTTGATTTTAGACTACTCCGTTATCACTGGCTGTAGAGGCTGGGTTTGGGGGAAATGAACTGCAGGACAGACGAGAGGGTCAAATGTTTTCCTCACAGGTGGCAGCCGCCCAGTTATTCCCTGAATGACCGGTCCCACGGTTGCTTGCCAGGGGCCAGGCCTGACCGGAGATGCCGCCCAGCAACATCTGGAGGGGAAAGACGAAGGGTCCTCCTCGTGGCACCTTGAAGACTTAGCAGGTTTCACCTGGAGGAAGCGTTTGTGAGTTGCAGCCTGTTTCCTCAGAGGCACACAGGCTACAGAGTCCACAAACATTTCTGTCTCATAAAACACGGCAGTGCCACAAGCAGTGGTGGATTTGGAAGCGCTCACATTTTATTTAAATTTAATTAAATCAAACAAAGTAAAATTATATATCTGTACACACACACACACACACATACATACATATACATATACTGTACACATATACATATAATGTATATATATAATGAATGTGTGTGTGTTTCGTTTCGTTTAGTCGTGTCCGACTCTTCGTGACCCCATGGACCAGAGCACGCCAGGCCCTCCTATCTTCCACTGCCTCCCGGAGTTGTGTCAGGTTCATGTTGGTTGCTTCGCAGACACTGTCCAGCCATCTCATCCTCGGTCGTCCCCTTCTCCTCTTGCCATCACACCTTCCTAGCATCAAGGTTTTTTCCAAGGACTCTTTTCTTCTCATGAGATGGCCAAAGTACTGGAGCCTCAGCTTCAGGATCTGTCCTTCAAGTGAGCATTCAGGGTTGATTTCCTTTAGAACTGATAGGTTTGTTCTCCTTGCAGTCCAGGGGATTCTCAAGAGCCTCCTCCAGCACCACAATTCAAAGGCATCAATTCTTCGGGGGTCTGCTTTCTTTATGGTCCAGCTCTCACTTCCATACATCATGACAGGAAAAACCATAGCTTTGACTATTCGGACTTTTGTTGGCAAGGTGATGTCTCTGCTTTTCAAGATGCTGTCAAGGTTTGTCACACAAGGTTTGTGTGTGTTATGTATGTATAAATTCTTAAACTATTTAAATAAATACTTTTAAGAAAGGTGGGATAAAAATATTTTAAACACACACACATACATTCCACACAGCCAGTCTGCTCTCAATGAACAGATTCCAAACTTGCAGGCAGCCAGATTGCTCCCTATCCACCCATGAAGAGCAGGGCTTTTGTAAAGCTAATGGCTCTTAATGGCCCTTTCAAGACCAACGCCCAGATAATGTCAACGCAGTCGATTCGCAGTGACATATTTTATTGGGGGAAATACCTTTTCCGCCCAGCTATGTGAGGACTGAAGCTCACCCCAGGGAAACACAGAGCCCTATTATTACTACAGTATACTTGAGGAGTAGTAATAGGAGTCACCTCTATCATTTTATGAAGCTCTACAAAGCTCCCGCTCACACACACACGCACACACCCCCGCCGGCGTCAAGGCTGGGCCTGGAATCCAAGGCGACACGCCCCGCCCCTCACATGCGTCACGGAGGGCCCGGACCGGCCCCGCCCCTTCCCTCCGCTCGCGGGGCCTTCCCTCTCTCTGCCTCCCCCCGCCCCGCGGTTGTCTTTCCCATCATGCTCCGGGTTGAAAACAAAGTCCCACGTGACGGCCCGGGCGCCGCGAGCCCGGAGGCAAC